GTGTGTGTGTTTTGTGTGTGTGTGTGCTACTACATATGTAGTTGTCTATATTAAATACCCACAATTTTATATATATACATTCATTCCCATTCATGATGCCGCTGTACTTATCATGGCACAATGCAATCTTGTGTACCCACGAACTAAGCACGTCCAATAGTCTTTATTATTGTCTCTCCTGGCGCTATTCATAAAGTTCTGCTATTAAATAACTCAGTAACGCTCTTCCTCTACACATACCACGTATTCTCTGCACAGTACCACTGCACTCCCACCCGCACACACAGCCAGTCCGCGTGCAGACAGGGCAGATGCGCCTGTGACGCTGAGCATCAACTGGGTGGACGACACTCACGTACTACGCAACCTAAGCCCAGCCACCACGACCGTACGTGATGTCAAACAAAGACTCAAGAACCTGACTACCCTGGACGTATCGCGACAGTCGCTGTACAACAACAGTGTGTTGGATCCGTCCGATCTGATGACACTGGAGCAACTTAACTTGGGATCAGACACTACGCTGTTGCTTGTGGACAGGGGCGAGGACGGGGCCAGGGACAATGCACCGGAGGTCGTGTCGAGTGAACCGGAAGAGAGGCCCAGGGGGAACATGTTTGCTGCTTTGGGTATGATTGGTGTTATTTATGTTGGTGTTAGAGGGAATATGTTTGCGTCTTTTGGTATGTTTTGTGTCATTTGTGTTGATGTCAGGGGATATATTTTTGCTGTTTTAGATATGTCTGTGTCAGTTGGATTGAGGTGTAATTTCTCGAGTGTGCTAATTTGGAGGCCGGTGTGTTCACCTGCTCTGGGTATGACTGTGCCATTGTACTGGTGTCATTGGGACCATTCTGGCTACTTTAGGTTTGGTTTCGTCAGTAGTGTACTTTTAAAGGGAGCAACAAGTCTGCTGATTTGAATCGGACATCCAACTGTTCTTACTCCTAGAGGTTGAGTGTATGCCTACTATGATTGCTTATCTATCTACACTGAATCCGTGGTAGAGTTTGGTGTCTATGTTCTCTTGCATGAATGCTGTCAGGCGGCACTGAGTTTCAACTGGGTAGTCCCAGTGCATCAGGTACATTCCAGCACAACTGTCTGTATGTGCACACCAATCCAACGCACTGTGCCACGTGTTCGTGCTACCTGCATGGCTTCACACTCCCCGCCCATGGTATAGCTGTGACTGTGTATGAAGTGAGGAGTACGTTTCCTTTGTCTGTTGTCCTCGATTGCCCCACTTTTCAAACTGGGAAAGAGCCTTACCGTCCTGGCGTGTGTGAAAACTCTGACCAGCTTAATATGTAGATGATACTTGGAGACGACGCTATATCACAGTGTCTAGTAACGGAAACTATTTCATCCCTGCGAGTGGGCGCTTGTTCGTTGGATAGGGTAGTGATTGGGTGCTGGTATTGTGCCTAACTTTGGTGTAGCATTGACCCAATAGATCTCTTCCACCGCTTCATCGGGTGAGAAACAATACAGCAGTCTGGCAGTATGGTAGTATAACAACTGTAGTGTAGTGCAGTGTGTTAGGCTTTGGTCTCAGGGCTGCCCTGTACATTCAGGCCCACATACTCAAGCAAGGTGGCGTCAGCTCGTGATTATCTCTTCAACCACAGATCCCTAGTTCATTGGTCTTCATTGCTCAAACGGTAGATATCCTCGTACCTATTAAGGGGCGTGAGACTAGTCCTATGTATCAATGCTACTAGTTTACCAGCGGCTGCTAAAACCGCGGTTTACCCCATGTCGACAACATATTATAAACCAGGTTTTTCTCCCCATCTATGCATTGTAGGCCATGGAAATAACGGGGATGCTTACCCGGTGGATCAGCCGAACTTGCAATCAGACAGCGACGACGATGCGGCCTCGTTCGCGTCGTACGATGATTACGAGGATGAAAGTAAGTGGTAGTTGAGATGGTTCGTATCTCTGTTGTTCTACGTACTTGCGTAACTATAAATTAGAACTGCGTATTGTCGTACCAGTCCGTTGGGGCACGCCCATCACAGGAAAAGTAGCCGCGGCTCCAGATATGGACATAACCTTCGTAGGGGTTGTTCACGTGGACAGCAATCCGTGAAATACTAGTTGATCTTTTGAACTTCAGATATCTTGGTATAGATTTAATCCGAGTATACACATCCGTGAAATACTAGTTGGTCGTTTGAACTTCAGATATCTTGGTATAGATTTAATCCGAGTATACACATCCGTGAAGTCCCGGAGTCCCCTTTTTGAAGAGATAGTTGGAGATCACACACCACCCCACCCCCCACTTAATCACTGCGAATATCTTGATATCGATAAACAAGCACTGGCTCTCGCGTAGTTCGATCTGTGCGATTGGCATTGAACATACGATGGAACATTCCAATTTGTTGCCAAATATCAAACGCATACATGACACCTATCGAGTGCACTAGTGGTCTCTCCTGATCTGTATCCGTATATGATATTTATCTACTTTAACGCTCCGATCTCCGTTTGCGATTGTCCTTACATACCGTATACGTTTCTATATATATATATATTTATATTTATATATATATATACCCACACGAGGATTATTGTGCATACTTATTCAGTACTTTGTCCACCCTGGCTCCGCTTGCAGGTTTCCCAACATACAATGAAGACTACGACATGGACGAGGACATAGCCCCGCCCAGTTTTGCCCGTCCAACGCAATCGCTCATCGACCAGGCGGCGTTCAATGCGCGAGATGCTTCACAACAGTTCGCTATCAACGTAAGTGAATCGCAGATGATCACTACGTGTTCGAGGAATTGATTGGTTCACCTGGTATCTACCTCTCTTGTATATACAGATCCAACAATGCTAGTGTTTAGGGTTAGGATTTATCCTTTATCGTCTGTTGGCCTATGACACGCTACTTGCATGCCTAAACCAAAGTCCATCTGGCTAGTGTGTGCTATTCCGTATTGCACACAACTACATGCTACGCCTCCAGGAATGCAGCTAGTGCGACTTTGATGCTTATGTACGAAGGCTTTCAACCGAAATGTATGCCTTAGTGTATGCAAGTGATTACTATGTACCGATGTATAGCAATGGAGTGCTGTGTTTTATTGTTTTAGTTTTAGGGTTTTATAAAAAATTGCATATACATACACACCACACATACATCACAATAACCTACACTATACTACTCGCATGAACATGCACGCACACACGCGTATACTCCCTGTTCGCACAATAAATCATTTGCCCACAAACTGCCCGACTCCAAACTGATATATTGTACCGAATTATATGTTATTTATACAAGCCCTTGTTACGTACCCATGATAAGCATGGTACGTCTTACACCCGTGCTCACAAATATCCCTGCTATCTCCGGCCTAAATGGAGTGCATGGGTACCTACCCATGGCAGAGATATTTGTGTGTGTGTGTTCACCAAACTGCACACATTCTCACACATGCCAACACGTACCTTTCCATACACGCAACTATACAGTTCAACGAGAAGTACGCTGGAGGAAACCCTGTGAACTTCCGCGAGGGTACTTTCACAGACGTTTTGACCCAGGCTAAACAGGAGTCCAAGCCATTGCTCGTGTACATTCACAGTAATATCTCAGTGGAGACCAATGTCTACTGTGTAGCTAGTCTGTGCACACCAGCTGTGAGTAGCCTGATAAACGAGAGATTCATCGCCTGGGGCTGGGATGTGACATACGAGGTATGTTCAAGTCGGCAAACGATATATATATATATTATAGTGCATATATGTACGTATACATGTATCTATGTACTTATCTATGTACGTATGTAAGTATTCGTCCAGGCATGTATTCATATATATATATATATATATTTATGTGTGTGTGTGTGTGTGTGCATGTATATTCGTATTCTATTTAACCCATATTCATGTTTTAGCAGGCTCTAATATCTGTATGTATGGGAATATATATATATATATATATATATATATATATATATATATATATATATATATATATGTATGTATGTATATGTATATATATTCATTTATTAATATACATAGATATAGATATATATATATATATATGAATGTATTGTGAGTAATTTATTTAGTTCACGAACGGTGTAGAGTCAAATAGCGTTATACTTTATATCATCACAGTAGTGTAATAGCTTGCAAGATTATGAGGACTGATCATCCCATAACCTTGTCTTTCAACGAGATATTGCCTATCGTCAGTCCCCTCTGGTTACTGACACAATATCCCTCCGAGTGCCCGGCCTCCTCTGCAGTCCGGCACTCGTCGTCTATATGTTTTACATTACTTTACAGCCTATGCTCATGTTCTATTGTATACATTTTACAGCCTCATCATATCTGTAAAACCAATATCACTAGAGACACAGTACTGGTATTCCACCCTAAAACTAACCCCTCATACACCTTAGTCATCCTTCATGACCCACTACTACACGTGGGCCACACACACATAATATATATCTATATCCATATCTATATCTATATCTATATATGTCTATATGTATATATGTGTATATGTATATATATATATATATACATATATACATATATACATATACACATATATACAATATATATATATATGTATGTATGTATGTATATGACTCATATATGACTGATATACTGTTTTCCTTCGTTCCCATCCACACAGAGCAACCGAGACCTGCTTACGACGCAGATAACACACCCGATGTACGGCCAATTGGTACGGACACCTGAGAACTGCCCCTTCACAGCCGTTGTTCTGAATACAGACGAGGATTCACGGTTATTCGATTTCTGGAAGTACGAAAGCGGGGAAGGCTTGTACGAAAAGCTCTTTGAACTTCTGGCGAGAGCGGACCCCATTTTGGAAGTGCAATCGTAAGACAGCGCAGTGCAAGCGCACCAGTGGCATGAATCGGAAGTATCAGGATGTGTTCTCTGGCTGTGTCAATGTATCTAATACGGGTTGACCGGATGCATTGCAGTCTCTGTCTTTCTCGAGCTCAGCTGTGGATATCACTTCATTGCAGAGTTCGATTTGATCACTTCACTACAGAGTTCGATTTGTTTGTTTGTTTGTTTTTTTGGGTATTCTAGAGAGCAGTCTGTTTGTATGATACCGATTCAAATTTTCTGATAGAATTGGCATTTGTACAACTCGGACTACAGTGCGTTAAATAGGAAACGAAAAGAAGACACAGAGACCCGATTGTGGGAGCAAAAAGAACAAAACAGTGCATATGAGCAATCCCTTGAAGATGACCGGGCCAAGGTATGCTGCATCTATTACGAACCCCTCACGTACCAGCATGCGTATGTGCACATACGTCAACTAAGAAAATTGTAATGTCCTCGATGAGTTTTAGCGGATATGTGTATGTCTCTATTCTTCCATTCTTGTTATATGTATATATATATCATATATATATATATATATATATATATATATATATGTATGCATGCATGTATGTGTATACGCACCTTTGCAACTCCATTGACTTTATTGTATCCACCCGTCGCCACGCCCCAGGAAACGCAAAGGAAACTCGAGGAGTTGGAGAGAAAGATGAAGCAAGACGAGGAAGACGCGAGGATAGCGCAGGAGCAGGTTTGTCTATGTACTGTGATCGATCGATTCTTCTAGCAAACACCGTACAAGCAAGTACATTCATTCTAGTTATAGAGGGGATGAAGCCACTGTGTGCGCGTATTGGTGTACGAATGTAGCTGGCGAGAATCGGGATGGTCCTTGCCTGTGTGTATGAAGTACAAAAGCAGAGTATGCATACATGCTCTTTGTTTTGCGTGAATCTGTAAGTAGATGTATGTAAACGAATAGTTGCATCTGCTTGTTGGTTGCATACTCTGACACGTCACATACGCATTCGCAACATGTATTGCGCATTGGTGCGTGCATGCAATTTCCACCATTAGCACCCGAGCTTAGTATGGAGGGTTTTACCCTTATTCATATATAAACAGGCAGAGATACAGAAGTTGGAGGACGCGATGGTCTCCGAACCTCCTGTCGACTGCGGGAAGCCCATGAGCAGTATCAAGTTTAAGTGCCCCGAGGGTGAAGTGTTTGATAGGCGCTTTCTGATGGACGAACACCGAGTCAAGGTACGAGATACACAACACACACGCACGCCAGAATGTCCCAGCCCTGCCCATGTGCCACGGGTGTTGGTTGCAAGAAAGGATCAATGTGTTGGAGAAGGTGTACGGTGCGTGTAACACATACGTGGCTGGATATGGCACTAGTGTTTATAGATACGCAACAACTCACATGCCTGGAGTCGCACTCTCGGCATGCCACCCGCCCACAGAATCTAGTTGTTTGTACTGTACGAGCACGCCAACCCCTACATAAACCCCGTTTCATCAACGGGATGTAGGCTTGTATCTTGTTACTGTATGCAGTTAGCGTACCCACAATCCGTATACCTACAGGATGTACTCCCCTGCGCTACCCACGTATACTATTCACCTCCACACAACCCATCCATCAACAGCATCTAGTCTGATATTATGTACTACTCCTACATACGTTCCAACGATACACAATCCGTAGACCTACAATATGAGTTAGTCACATATGCAGCCTTTACAATATGGACCTGCCCACAATCCGTATACCTACAGGATGAGCTAGTCACATATGCTCCCTTTACATGGACCTACCCACAATCCGTATACCACCTGCAGGGTAAGCTAGTCACGTATGCTGCCTTTACATGGACTTGCCCACAATCCGTATATCTACAGGATGAGCTAGTCACATGGGCTCCCTTTACGTGGACCTACCCACAATCTGTATACCTGTAGGGTAAGCTAGCCACGTATGCTGCCTGTACATGGACTTGCCCACAATCCGTATACCTACAGGATCTGATCACTTACACTGACTATGCCGACTGCACAATTGATACAATCCGTCCAGTGCAAAATCCGTTCACTTTCGCTGTCTCTAAATGCATTCCACCTACACACTTCTGATCTCCTATACTGTGCATGCACACTATACGCGAAAACACATCTCAATCATGCACAGGAGTCGTATACTTGCGGACACACAATCCATTTGCCAATGATTTATTATACACGTAGAATCCGTTCCTCCGCTGGTTTCGAACATCTCTACTTACTAATAACTACCACAAAATCCGTATATACCTACAGGATCTGATCACCTATGCAGGGTCTAAGGGATACACTGAACCAGATTTTGTACTGGCCACAAGCTATCCCAGGCGGGTGCTCAACGACGGTGGCAGGGCGCTCACGCTGAGAGAGGCTAGAATGGCCCAGCGAGAGCTCATACACATCAGTGAACGATAGACTCGAGGATACGCACGTGTGTATACGAGAGATCATACGCATCAGTGAACGGTAGACTCAAGGGTACGCATGTGTGTATACGAGAGCTCATACACATCAGTGAACGATAGACCCAAGGATACGCATGTGTATATACGAGAGCCCATACACATCAATGAACGATAGACTCAAGGGTACGCATGTGTGTATACGAAAGATCATACGCATCAGTCAACGAGAGATCATACGCATCAGTGAACGATAGACCCAAAGATACGCATGTGTATATACGAGAGCTCATACACATCAGTGAAGGATACGCATGTGTATATACGTTAACGGTGTACAATACTGGACCGTGGGGTTACTTGGCCAGCGTGCTGGGTTGGTGTATCTGATCCATGCAGTGGGTGGTGGAAAGTTGGTTGAGTGAATGCTGGCTGCGGACAGCGTCGTGCGTGTACTTTCTCAACTGTTGCAAACCTAAAATGCTAATAAAGTTTTCCCTTATCGCAATTGAAGATTTTTAGTCTGTTGTTTTTGTAGTTGTTTAAAAAGGACTATTTTTGGTTATGCATATTGCTTGTCTCATTTGCTGGCCTGTTTGATTTTGTATGTTCGGGTGTTCTATATCCGTCCTCTTCAGCTTCCAGGGCAAGGTGGTAAACTGACGGCACAGTCAGTCAACACATGCGATTGGACATATACATCATAGGTATATCTATATAGGTGGTTGCCTGCATATATTTCTATTTATCATATGGTTATGATCCAATATGAGGAATGCAAGCCATTTGATAAGGTCAGAGATGGTGGCCCTGTTGACCAGGAAACCGCATCTGAGAACGTTTATGACCATACGGCCATATGCAGTGACTACGGAGATACGAAGTGACTACGGAGATAGCAGAACATCGAAAGCAGCCACCGCAGTCTGATTGTATAGGCCGGATACGACAATAAAAAAACAATAATTCATCTCCTCGTGGAAGAAACATCCGAAAGGGATGAGCAAGCTCCCACCGAGCACGACTAAGGGATACGATATATAAAAATTCATTATTCTCCTCGCGCAAGAAACATCGGAATGGATGAGCAAGCTACCACCGAGCACGACTAAGGGGTTTTTGTGTGGAAGGTATACATACCAGTCCACTGAGATGTGTGGTGTATGTATTGTATTGAGGTGGAAATTAATACGTTTATCAAGTCTGAATTGAAGAGGAGCCGATCCTAAGGCATAACAGAATCTGGAAGTAATGCGACCTACACTTCAGACGTTGACTGGTCTACTTTTTCTGCCGAGCTTACGTATACTGAGGTGCTTATCATTCGTTAAATGACATTTTTATTGGTATAAATACATATAATCCGTGCCGTATCTCCACTTCATCATCCCGCCCCACGCTTAATGGATGATCCTGGAGTTCCTAGCGTCAGCCATACCTCTCTCACATATAGCCGGTTGTACATATACAGCTAGTTGTAGGGACCCATGTCGTCTGCTGGTACACACCTTCTGTGACTTTCGCTTGATCAGAAAGAGCTGTTAACGCACCCGACCTGTTAAATGGGCACAGGTGATCCTGCCAGCGATCTGTATTACACAGTCGCCCGACATGGTAGTATCGTTCTTTGTGTGACGGCGACTCAGCCAGGTGTGTTAAGCAACCTCCTGAGTCTGGAAGAACAAGCCATAGTCACTCATCGGTGCCTTTTACACCGTCGCCATCAACATCATATTGTATTGGTCAATTGCAAGCTGTCAATATCTATGACAGTCCTGTCAACGTCACAGTAAGGTCATAGATATGGAAAGTCACTATTCAATTGACCAAGGAAGTATATCGCCGTTTATGGGTCTACGGCCCATATCATCGCTGATGTTGGCGGTGACAGTGCAAGAGGCACATATGTTTTATGAACAATGATGTAAAAGATTGATTGCTCACTACTGAGCTCATACCCATATACATTAGTCAAGTACGAAATCATATTAAGATCAAAACTAATAATCATGTACAATCATATGCAGTACATTTTAATCTGCATATGGGTGTGCAGGTTGAAGTTGTAACCATAGTATGGTCCTACACTTCGTTATTGTATGATGATATGACTTCGGTTGTGAACAATCTGGGCTCTATATACATATAAAATATATCCATGAATTGAGACCTAACTTGTTTTTTACCCCATCATGGTATGCTCTATCAAGATGTTTGAATCTACCTGTACATTTTTGCTAGGGTTTGTATATTATATTCGATATACACATAGCATCGAGTAGGAACAAAGAGGTTGAGGTAACAACCAGTACAATATGGTTGGCTCTACGGTATGCTGGTCACTCGCACTAAAAATAGAACAATGTATCGCTGTCTACAGTCTACACTGTACACACTATACCGTAATTACCCATCGCATCGAAGGATTAGTTAGATGCTAATGATCATAAACATTGGACACTTGCACTAGCCACCGGGCAAAGACCAGTAGGCCATGTATTAGAAAGGGTGAATTTATGATGGAATGGACAGACTACCATCAATACACACGAGAGAGTAGTCACATGAGGCTCAGTGATGACTTAAGGGTGGTAGAGCGTCGTTGTAACGTCAGACGAAGTGGTTGGGAGTAATAACTTCGAAAGTATGCAGAATATTTGTCTAGCATTCTGGAGGGTTGGGTGGTATTGGTGTTTGTGAAATATGAAGCGGTGGAAATGTGTGAAGGGACTGTTGCCGCAGGCACTTCACTCTCTGGCAACTACCCAAGTATCCGGATGGAACATGAATACGTCAGAGTGACACCTAAATTTCGAGATCTTTGTATTCTCAACACATATACGAACAAGCATGTAAAGGTGATATATAAGTATATTAATATGTATATATATAAATATGCATGTATATA